ATTAGGGATTTTACGTAATTATATTATAATTATATATAATTATTATATATAATTATAATATAATATATAATATAATAATATAATAATATTAAAATATATAAATTATATATAATTATTTAGTACACTGACGACGAAACATAATCTTAAATCGTCGTCATAATGATGTCATTTTTCTACTTGGGATACGACTAATTATATTCTACACAGATTTTATACGAATAATCTTAGTATTTTCGGTATGATCACAGTACATTCAATATAAAAGAGAATTCATATGAGACAATGTGCTAATAGGATATATTCGGTATATTCTGAAGATGAACTTAAGAATATATGAGAAATGATACACCATCAAGATGTCATATGAATGTTCTCTAGTATATTAGGCAATAGTACATATGACCACAGTACTTCCAGTACGAGTGTAGAATATTCGAATGATATCATGTGCTATTAGGGTTGGCTCCGTAGGAAGTTTCGTAGCTTTATAATAAGTTCAAAAAAATTTCATAATAAAACATCTTCTATGAGTCAAAATAAGGTTGGATACGAGCAATTAGGATTTAACAAAGCTAAAAGGGAAATTCTTTGTAGTATCACTGATTGCTTGACGAGGAAAGCAATAGCACTGTCCTTGTCTTTCATTTACTGTGTATGTGGGTAACGTCCATGTATACACATACTAGTATACTTCGCACACGGACTGTTAATATGTTAAACGAAAGGACAAAATATACACTATTCTTGTTTTCCGATGACGCTGTTTTGGTCAGAAAATGCTTTTAGTCTCCTCAGGCCAGAAAGCAGTAGTGTTACGGGGATAATAAATTCTTTTTATTTCTGCATGTGCCAATGTATACAAATATATGTACAAATTTTAGTTAACGATTACATAAATATTTTAGAAAAATAATGGATAAAAAATAATTAACGACTCTTGAGGTCTAAAAGTAAAATTAAATAATCATTAAAGGTTGTGCTTCACTTAAATATTTTTGTTATATGTTACTCCATTATATTAATGGAGAATGAAAAAAAGAAACGAAGAAAATCTTGTGCCTCAATTACAAATGGCAGGATTATATTTCAAAATATAAAACACATTAACAGCACACGATACTGCGAATCATCCCATTTTCGTACTGCTTGTACTGTGATTATCTGTAACGTGTACTGAGATCCACATTAGAACATCACTGACGTATCATTCTTTCGCACGCGTATATTCTCAGGATTTATGCAGCGGTACAAAAGTGATACATATGTTTTTTTCATCGCGCGCGTATTCTATAGACATAACATTTATCACGAAATATTATCGTCATAAATATATCGTCATTTAAACTAGCATACGATGCATACGATGCTTTTTTTCTTGCTGATTTGCTAGGATTTGTGTGCTCGTAGAGCTCTTGTCTCTGATTGGTATATTCTTTTGGATCTAAAAAAATATACTAATTGAAGACAAGAGTTCAACAAGCACGTGAATCCAGATAACAAACTAGCAAGAAAAAAAAGCATCGTGTGCCGCTGGCTTTAATCGTTATTTTTGTAACGATACGCCTCCCGCGCACTGTTCTAGCATAAGTGCGACCGGACTCCGCGTTCGTTATCGAACATACCGATCGTCGCGCGCGCCCGTAATACTGAACATATCGACCGTTGTGCACGCAACTCGTCACGTGCGTGTCAAATATCGCTGACGACCCGCGTTATTTTGCAAGCTAGAAAATAACAAAACTCGACGGGTATATAAATCCGGCCGATTCTCGATAAAACAACTAGACCGATCCTCCGAACGTCTCCATCTCCAATCGATATTCAGAAATCGCGATCAGGCATTCCTGAGCTCCGCCGAGCATACTCGACACTGATACCATCCTGTGCAAAAGTGAGAAATCGGGACAGAGCATTCTCAGTCCCCATCAAGCATACTTCTCGCTTTTCCAAGACAGAGCAGTCTCAGTCTTAACTTCCTTCTAATGATACGAGCAAACTGGGACGGAGCATCCTTAGTCCCAGCTTACTTGTCACTCGTTTCTCCTTCCTCGAGACGGAGCATTCTCGGTCTCACCATTCCTGCCATCACACGAGCACACGGGACGCATTCTCGGGCCCCGACAAGCATACTTTTCTCTCGTGTAAAATCCACAAACAGGAGCGAGCATTCTCATTCTTGCCATTTGAAAGCGCATCTATTACGCGGCAACAACGAGTCATACACTACTAGCGCCATCGACGAATCGTTCAACCAATCACGCGCTTACGCGACCAGTAGGCCTCGCTGCGAACCAATCACTCGTCCCGACGCATATGCCTCACACTCCGAGTGTACCTCGCGTATTTCACGCGCACCGAAAGATGCACAATGAAGAAGTCGTAACATATATCAACAGCGCGCTGAGCGAATCTATACCGCTGTATATCCACATTAGCAAATTATCCACATTAGTAATGTATCTTATAATAACATGATGACCTTGACAATGCATGTCAAGGTCATTGAAATTCGTGAGATCGCCCACTTATGCAGTTTTATCTCTAGCTATACAAATTTAACTTTAAATATCTCAGAAACTATGAGAGACAAATAAACAAAATATATTCAACAATTTATAAACAATTTTCATAATAAAAATGATTCTCATTAAACATAACATAGGTTCACGGCTCTATATATGTAATTTAATTATTTACAAGAATTACATATGCAATCGAGATTTTAAAATTAAGACTATTTATATGACAATATAGTAACATTCATTAACCGGATATCTATCACATTTTATGTCAAAATCCTGTGTTTACTTATATCATCATTTCAGTTGCAGGTTTCATCACATTATAGAAATTAAGCGGCATCGAGCAGGATCCCAAGTAAGATAGGTGATCGTTTTAGAAACATGCAATGATACAAGATAAAAAATGTTTTATCACTTTCTCTCATTTTTTTATATTTTTTTCACTTATTTTCCGTAAGAGGTGTCACGTATATTATATATTTTTATGAGCTATATGGCTGGGATACCGTTATGCATGCCTTACATGATATACTGTTTTTTAAACCTATTTCTATCCTATGGCCATACTGCGGGATATTCTCCAATACATACTACGGTTAGTGAGTGATAGTAATATTCTAAGTATATTCCAGTATATCAGAGTACGTATTTCGAATGTTCGGAGAATATCTCGAATATACTTGTATGATATCCCGTGGAACATTCTCATAATAGACAAGTGCTATTAGGGTATGTTCATGGTTATCATGAACACGGTGGGATGTTTATCTATATGATTTACAAATCATGGAATATCTGCTTTTAATGTATATCTCCATGTAATGTACATTTCGTTGCGTTCCTAGCGATTGCGAACGTGCGTAATGCTAGATAATCACATCTCGTATGCTTGATATTTGTGAATGGACTGATACGCACTTATTTGAAGATTTTTAATAATTAATAATTCATTACAAATTGCAAAATACAGGACTTTCTTGTTCAGTTCAACCCATTCTATCTGCATACACTTGTTGTACTATTTCGAATCAGATACCTTGTATATACAATAAAATTTAAGTAGATTACAGAATAACAAAAAGATTGAGACATTAGAATATTTTCAAAAATATGAGTTTTATCAATATTGCAGATAAAATGTATGATTTTGAGGGAGACATAAGATGATGTCATCAATTTGATCTTGAATAATAATTTGAAAGTAACATGAAGATCACCTTCAATTTTTTAAATGGAATACCCAATTTCTCATATCCTTGTAGCTTAGGGCTGTTGTACATAAAAAAAACTTAAGCAGTTAAACTTAAGTAGTTTTTTGGCAACTATATTTTAATATTTTTATGCATAGAATAATAAGATGAATCAATTGATATAAAGAAAATACATAGTTGCTGTTTAAAAAAAATTAAGATTTGCAATACGCAACGACGTATCTTTTCTGAAATTATATATTTTCTTCAACTGATTCATCTCATTATTTTATGCAAAGTATTAAGATATTGTAAAAAAATGAATAGTTTACGAGATATTTTACATTTTATGTCAAATTGCATATCAAATTCAAGCCTCATAACTAGGCCCCGGATATTCGTGCGATTTCTCATGCCGCGTGCGAAGCACCGCTGCGTGCAAGTGAGTCGAGAGCTCGCTAAAGTGAGATAGTAACATTTCTCAAAGAAATCCGACGCTCGACTCGATGTAATCCGAATTAATCATTTCGGTTAGTGCGTGATCTATTAAACATAAACAAAATATAGAAAACAATATGTTTGAATTTTATTAGAAGTACAAATATTTTAAAACCATATTACTTTTTAAATCTTAAAATATAACATAGATTAAATAAAACAAATACAATATATTGAAAGTAAATAATATAGTATCCAAAAAATATCAAAAAAGATAAAAAGTAATATTGTTATCTCACTTTAGCGAGCACTCGACTCACTCGTACGCAGCAATGCTCTGTGCGCGGCACGAGAAATCGCACAAACAGAAAGTACTTCTTAAAAAAATACTTTATTATATTGTTTTGGAAAGCTCTCGTAGTAAGTTACAAAAATATGAAAGTAGATGTTCCATTTAAGAAATTGAAGGCGATCTTCACGTGATTTCCAAACGATTACTCAAGGTCAAATTAATAACACCATCTTATGGCTCCCTCGAAACCATACAACTTTTCTCTGCAATATTTTTTGATAAAACTCATATTTTTCAAAATATTCTAATGTCCCGGACTTTTAATTACACTCTGAACAAAATGACAAAAAAAAGTTACCAAATATATTAAATAATATACCTGAAATCTAAGGATCAAAACCACGGCTCTATTATATTGACTTTTTCTTATATAATTTTAATACATTCTTTTAAGTAAAGTAAAAAATTATTGTACATTATACATTTTTGAACAACGACAGAGAAATATATGTGATCACTATGCTTTAATATGCTTAATAATAATTTTGATATACTTACATTCAACATGAGCTACATCTATAGCATGATCTGTGTCTTTAACTGGTAATTCATGTGGACTAGGTTCCAACTGACTTCTGTTTGCCACAGATATTCTGCTTCCATTATGACTAATTGTATTGACACCACTCCGGCCATTTGTTATGATTGCCGATCCAGATTTTCTTATCATTGTACCAGGTAAGCTTAAATTAATCAAAAGAGATATAATTAGATATGCTAATTAGATATATATTAGATACATGTTATATTTAAATTTATTTATAATCAAGTATCATTTCTGCATTATTCCAAATTATTTAAATATTCGTGGTTTAAAAATAAATATATGTACAAATTAATTATTAAAAGAAATTAAAAATACTATAACATTTAGTTTTAAAAAAATTTCAACAACATGTAATATGAAAATTTATGATAATGTACTTGTAATAAAATATTTTTGATTCAAGAAATAAAGATAAAAGTTCATATTAGAGATGATTTCAATAACTTTGACATATGTTGTTAATTGTTACGCACGCACGCATGCACGCCCGCTCGCACGCTCGCACGCATACATGCACAGTGTGTCCCAGGGTATCATCCTTTTCTTTCCGCAATAAATGGAAATTAGGAAAAAAATTTACATTCAAGGCCTATCTGAACACTCTGATAGCGACATTTTAGTTTTTCGGAAATTACCGGAAATAGGATAAATCTGGATCAAGTTTGAAATTTTTAACGATTAATGTAGATCGAGAAGAGTATTATTGGATCGATCTTTTGAAAACTAATAACTTTTGCTTAAACTTTCTTTTATTTCATTTTCGGTTCTTACGAAAAGAGAAAAATGTCAAATTATTGTGGATTTGTAAATAATATTTATTGGATAACAGTGGATGAGAAAACAATATAATATATCTTGCATGAGATTCATTCAGCTTGCACTCAGCGACAAAATCAGACTGCGCTTCGCTAGAGCTCGTTCTTTTATAGGAGAAACACACACACACACACACACACACACACACACACACACACACACACACACACACACTAAATTTATAAATTTTTTCCGAAAAATATGTTCCCTCACCGCTTTCATCAATCGCTTCCGATTTACACTTAGATCTTTTCCGCTCTTCAATCACCACCTTACATACACACATAATACGAAATATCTCTTTTGTCTCACTGCTTTCATCAATCGCTTCTGACTTACTTAGATCTTTTCCACTCGATCCTACATTCTGACCAGACACTTGACCTCAAATGTTATCGCATTTATCTTCATCTTCTAGATTATCACTCATATAATTTATCCATGGTTTCATATAATCTACGGAAGTAGATGTTCTGAAAAGTTCTTCATGATCATCTACTTTTTGTATACATATCTATCGTTGCGCAGTACTTTTATCACAGAATATGGACCGAGGTATTTATTAACTAATTTAAGACCGGGACCTAGGAGGACCTTGAGGATGCTTTATTGCTACAATATCATTTTCACTATATTTAGTCGCTAATTTTCGCTTCTTATTAAAAGTTACTATTTTCTTGTTGAATTTTTGCGATACACTCTTTTGCACGATTACGCAAACTGTTTCGGTCATTCTGAAAATTTTCAATCCACTCTTTTTCTAATACCTCTCGTATTTGAGAGTCATCTTTTATACGCACATGGGTTCCAAAAAATAAATGAAATGGTGTTGTACCAATGTTTCTCTGTGGGATACAATTCAAATATAGTTGGGCTAGTTCAATGTATTTGAATCATTCCTCACGTTTAGGATCAGCAAATTTTGTTAACAAAGGTATTAAAACTCGATTAACACTCTATTGACCATTTGCTCGCGGAACTCCGGTCGTGATTAACGTATGGCTTATATTCTCTTCCGAAAAATATTCTGCGAATTCTTTTGATGTAAAGGCCGCTCAGCGATTAGAAACTATTCTCCGTGGATTCCCAAAAATAATTGATTGTTTCTTTAATCTACTTATAACTTCAGCAGTATTCGTAATTGTAGTCGCATACAGCCATATAAATTTCGTATACGCGTCAATCACCGAAAAAATGTACTTATAACTTTTCTTCGTAGAAGGTAACGATTCTAAATGATCTATATGATAGGTGTCCAATGGTAATTCGCCTTTTTCTATCACATACAAATATCCTTCCTGTTTATCCTGTTTCCTCTGCTAAAATCCAAGCTACGCAATTTTTTATAACTTTTTCAAGCTTAGACCTCATGTTTGGCATCCAAAAATCTTTTAGTAATAATGCTGTGATTTTTGCAACGGAAAAGTGACCTCTATCATGCTTGATAACTTGTGTACGCATTACTTTTGGAACAACTAACAGAATATCATCGTTATGTTTTTAAAAAGTAAATTATTCCTAATCGTATAACCGTCAATATCCTTTTCTTTAATCGCATTTAATATTTTCTTAACATCGTCATCCTCTTGTTGTGCTCGTCTAAATTTTTCAGTTAAAGTATCATTGTTTTCTACATTCATACATATAGGAAGGGGATTGCAACTTAATGCATCCACGTGTGCCATACTTTTATCGGGACGATGCTCAATAACGTAATCAAATTCTTCCAAAAGCAAAGACTACCTCGTCACACGCACGCATAAGTCTTTTTTATTCATAGTTAGCGAAAACGCACGGCAATCCATTATTATATTTTGAAAGATATGCCTAACAGATATACACGAAACTTGACTAACACTTTAACTATAGAAAGCACTTCTAACTCGTAACTCGTATACCGCTGTTCTGCGGAAGATGTTTTACCGTTCGAATAATATATTGGATGAAATTTATTATCTTCGTCGCCTTTTTGCATCAAGATTGCACTATATCCGTCAACTGATGCATCGATATGTAACTCTGTTGATGCATTCGGGTTATATAGATGTAATATAGGTTTATTACATAATATATCTTTCAGACAAGTAAACGCTTCTCTTTCTTTTTCGGCGAATCGAAACTTCGTATTTACTTTCAGTAAATTACTCAAATGGACGAGCTATAATTGAATAGTTTGGTACAAATTTTCTAAAATAGCCACTAAGATCGAGAAAACTTTGTATCTCTGTTATTATATATTAGTTGGTTTTGGGAATCTACGCACTGCTTCAACTTTTTGTGTGGATGGATATACTCGACTGTTCTCTATTACATGACCAAGAAATTCTATCTTTGTAAGAAATAGTATTTTTTCCGATTTATTATTAATCCTGCTTCATTCGCGATTTTCAATACTATTTCGAGATTCTTTACTCCGGTCTCTCTATCTATGAATGGTATTATTAAATCATCTAAATAAATCAATACTATTTTATTACGTATTACATCTCGGAAAACTACGTTATAAATCTTTGAAAAATTGACGGCGAATTATATAAACCAAAAGATGCTTTTAAAAATTCATAGTGGCCATTAGGAACTATAAAAGCTGTATATTTTTGACTATTCTCATCAATAGGAATATGAAAAAAATCCATTCTTCAGGTCTAACGTACTAAAAAATCTCGCGTTTTGTAAAAGATCCAGTTGATCTTCGATGAGTGGAAGCGGATATCTGTCACAATTTTTTCATTTAACTGTCTATAATCGACGCACAATCTAGTATTTCCATCTTTTTTCTTACCAACACTACCGGATTCGCATATTCGGAAAGGCAAGATTGCGCAATACCGTCTCGAATCCATTCATTTACATGCTTATTCATTTTTTCTCGTTCTTTGGGCGACCAGTCTCCGGGTCCTTTGATATTGGTTCTTTGTCTTTTAAAATTATTGTCATTTTAACGTCTACTTCTTTGATCTTTTGAGAGCAATAATTATCAACTATGTTCTTAACTGCTAATCGATGTATGTCATTCGGAACATGGGTTACGTCTATCTTATTAGTATCTCCGTGTTCTAAATTTATTTGAAAAACTTCAGGTAACTCGCTTTCATTCGCAACCTCTTTTTTTGTTAGACTAATTGATCTCTATTTTTTATACATAGCTCAACCGTATTTAAAAAATCAGTACCAATAAGGAATTCATAATTAATTAAGTTATCTGACATAACTCGAATAAGTATGGAATACGAATGTCCATCTACTGTTAAATTCGCACGAAATTCTCCGAACGTCACATTCTCGTTCAAACCCACACCACGAAAACGAATTTCTTTACATTCTAATGGAGAAGATCCTAATTTAATGTCTCGATCCGCACGCACACATAGATCACTGCCTGTATCAATTAATGCAATCAAACATAGATCACTGCCTGATCAATTAATGACTTTACAATCATTAACCGCTACTTCTTTGGTACATTTCGCTTGACTTACATGTGTCGCGATGCTATCTTTCACCTTTTGTTTTTTTTGGGACATTTTGCTGCGATGTGTCTACGCTCTCAACACTGAAAATACTTAGGTCCATTTTCTTTGGTCGGACAATCTTTACCAAGATGATCCGGTAGGCCGCAGTTAAACCAGTTTTTCTTTCCGTTGTGTGACGTCTTGTGCTGTCCGTATCTTCTGCTCTTGTCCGCCTTCTGTATCCTTTCCTTTGACCCGCTTTTTATCCTAGAATGTTTCCGTTCCCACAGCGTGACCTTCTCGAATGCCTCTAACAATGATCATTTTGTTCTAAGACCACTAATACGTGCTTGGTCTCTCAGCATTGGATCGGGGATACTGTCGATGATGTATTCGGCGATCTCCTCTTCTTCGATCGGAACACGATTCTCAAGGATTATTTTTTCATGCACGTACATACTCACAGAATGTCTCTTCCTTCTTCCATTCACGCTCTTCGAATTCACGACGTAGCATCATTTTGCTGAGCCGATGATGGAACATACTCCTTAATTCAAGCAATAAGGATTCTAGCGATATCTCGACAAACTCGGGCTTAGAATGTAGCCAACTTAACGCTTTTCCTTTCAGTCGATTAATATTTTCGCATGCTCGTCATTTAGTCGATACGATCAATAATCTTAGCTGTCTTTCCCACATCTCGAAATTGCCTGTCGTGTCGTCAAAAATAGCGAGCAGCTCAATTATAGCTGTCAAATTGGTTTTTGGCTGCATAGCACTGAGTTCTTCGTCGCGTATCTGCACACGAGCAGTTGATTGTGAACTGGCTCTTAACGATTCAAGTCTAAGAAGATCTAATTCGGC